AGCTCTGACTTCAGATAAGCAGAACAAACAAGCCTCAGCCCAAGTGGGAACTGGTTCTGCCCCCTGTCTTTGCTTTTCTAAGTCATCAAAGCCAAGTTCCTAAAGCCTGACTGTCTCACGGTACTTTCTGATGGTTTCATTGTTTTGTTTATTGTGCTTATGACAAGTGCTAACAGACTGCTTTCAAAGTGTGTTGATATTTCGGTTGTTTTTGAATGGACCTTCTGTTTTTCTGCATCTGGACAGCATTAGAGTCTGGCCCCAGGGAACCACAGGTTCCTATAAAAGTGTACCAGGTCCCCTTCTGCAGAAAACCTTGGCCATGGCAAGATCAGACACCCCATCTGGGCAGGAACAAACACCAAAATGGAGAGCAGACTCATGAGACAGGATTCAGCAGCCAGGGAAGACAGGCCTCTGCTGGCAGTGCTCGCTGGCCCATGGGTGTTCTGTCCACGGCCGCACCGTGATGTTCCCGCTGGAGGACGTGGCCTAGCGGAGGGCCTGGCGTAGGGCAATACCACTAAACGCTGGTGGTCATCGATGGGTTCCCACTCTGCCTTCTCCGGGCTTGCCTGCTCAGTCACCAGCAGAGTGTCTGACAGGGGACTCCTGGGGACTGGACAGGGAAGAAGGAAGAGTGAGAACAGCATGAAGTCCTGGGGAAAACCAGAGGAAGCACCACTTCTCACAGCTCTCCTGGGGCATCTTTGCTACACTGTCCACGGGTGCTGAAGTGGGGAGAAGGTGGAAGAGTCCTCCTAAGACTTGTCTTCAGTTTTCTTTTTTTTTTTTTTTAAAGATTTTATTTATTTATTTTAGAGAGAGAGAATGAGAGACAGAGAGCATGAGAGGGAGGAGAGTCAGAGGGAGAAGCAGACTCCCCGCCGAGCAGGGAGCCTGATGCGGGACTCGATCCCGGGACTCCAGGATCATGACCTGAGCTGAAGGCAGTCGCTTAACCAACTGAGCCACCCAGGCGCCCCACTTGTCTTCAGTTTTCATGGACTTTCCCTTCCTACTTGTCCTGCTCTGTCCTGTCCCCAGGCCCCGCGCCATCCCGCATTAGAACCAGCTTCCTCCAGCGTGAGGGCACCTGGGGGTACAGACGGGCTCAGAGGAAGTAAGTCCCACATACAATCTCATGTGAGTTTAGCGCAGACTCAAATTCATTTCTTCAAGGTCATCTCTGATTTCCTCCTTCAAGCCGGCTGAGATTTTCTGGAACCCACGTACTTTACCGGCCTGTAAATGGTGCTCTCTTGTTTGGTGTCAGGAGTGAAAGGGCTCCTTTCTGCCTGACCTCCAGTGACTCTGGGGCTCCATGCGTGGCCCTGCCTTCACTCCCAGATATAGCAAGCCCCTGGACCTTGCTCTCAATGTCAAATGGGGTGGAGATTGAGAGGAGCAACAGTGAGCCCTGGTGCCTCAGTGCTACAGTTCCAGGGGCCCCAGCATTGCCGGGGAGGGGAAGAGTTAGCTCTGTTGGTTAGATCTCAGATGGAACCATGGGAGGCCTGTGTGTGTTCATGCACACACCTTGGGGGTGGTGGTCAGGGGCTGCACAATCTGATCGACTGGTGATGATTGGTCTCTACCCGTGGTATTAGGGCTGGACACACACTAGGCCTCAAAGTTCCTGACTTTATGACAACAATCCCTAGCATTTCCTTCTAGGTATACACCATCAAGTGAAAAATTCTCATTGATACTACTTGTCCTGACCTGGATCTTTCCCTTGAAGTTTTAGCATCCTTAGAATTGCATATGTTTACCACACTTCGCTTAGTGGGGATGTCTGATAAATCCCTCAGTGGCACCATTTTGTTTCTCAGGAACTGCACTGGCCCTTGATTCCAGCAAAGAGACAGAGAGCGACTCTGGGTCCAGGGCTGGGCACATCCCAATGGGCTGGGCTGATTGGCCTCTGAGAAGCTGAACGTGCCCTCCACCAAGGCAAGAATATTCCCTAAGGATGCTTGCTGGTTCCCAGTGTGATTCTCTGGGTAGGTGAGAAAGAGAACTGGGGCCTTTTGTCTGCCATACAGTATGTGTGTGTGATTGTGAGTGTGCGTGTGTATGTATGTATGAGGGTGTGTGCCTATGTGAGAGTGTGTGTGTGGATGTGAGTGTATATGTGTGTGTACGTGTGAGTGTGTGTGTGCGCGCGTATGTGTGTGAATGCTTGTCAGTTTGAAAAATTTCAAACTTTATGTAGCAGTTTCTTTCTCACCAGGGTCTCTGCTTGTGTGAAACTTTAATTTTATAGCTTTGGCTGTTAATTCATCATGGGCACCGCCATTAATAAATATTTATTGAGCTTTCACTGAGCATAGCATGTTGAAATAAGAACTATATATTTGACTTAAGAGGAGTCAATAGCAGGTGGGGGTAGATTTGCGGAGGGGTGGGAGAAACAATCTTTGAGGTTTCTTTCAACCTTGAGATTTTATGACCTTATAACTAAAGCGACAGGATCCACTTGACACCCGTGGGGCAGCCAGCTCGGACAAGAGAATGGGCTACCAGAAGCCAGGCGCCTTCAGAAATCCCACCCAATACTGACAGCACACATCTGCAAGCCTCATGTCTGTTTTGGAATTCAGGGCTGCAAAGGGATGAAGTGAATCTTCTTGGCCTTTCCCATGGTGCCCTATAGAAGTAAATATTTGCTGATCGAGTGATGGTTTGCCATTTGTCTTTGGAATTTACAAGAAGCATAGACTTCGGGGGAAGTTTGGAGCCCACTGATGTTTTGGCAGGAAAGGACCAGTTTTCTCCCGTTTTACGGGGTGTCAGTGGCAGCCTGGGGAAAGTCTCCATTGGAGAGAACTCCAGAATGGTGGGGGCTGAGAGCAAGTCTGGAGGGAGGGTGCGTGCCTCTCATGGAGCTCAGTTAATCAGACCAGAAGCAGTCTGCCTGCCACAGCAGTGACTCAGGCCTCCTGGGGGGTTTTCTTCAACATTATGAAGATGAACATGGCTCCGAGAATTCCCTTCGGACCTGGGCTTCGTGCTAATTGCCTCCATATTTATGGGAAGATGGGCGGCCCATGATGGGAACCTCCGGCATGGCGTCTGGGGGTGTGCTCAGGAGAGTGGCCGGGCTCTAGAGGAGTTGGGAAAAGGTAGATCTGAGCCTGACAGGGTTAAGGCGCTCCTGCTGTCAGGTGGGTAAGCTACTATGATGATGATCACTACTCCCTTTTCCCCAAAGAGAAACTGAAACAGAAACCAGGAGTGGTTCCGTGCCCAAGGTAACACTGTCAGAAGGGGCCTCAGAGTCAAGGTAAATAGCAGATGTAGAGTCCAGATCCGTCACCTCCCAGTTCACAGATTTCCCCTGCCATGCGTGAGGGGTGGTGGGGGGGGAGGCAATCCAGCATTGCTGAGTCACATAAAAGGTGATGTTCAGTGTCTTGCAAGCTGCTTTTCTCCTGAGTTAAACTGGTGGTATTCGGGGTGGAGACAGCTCATAGAGAAGTGAGAAACTAGGGAGTATTGCCTGCTTTTACTTTTACTAGCAGTTTAACTGTATGGCATCAGTTTCCCTGTCTGTAAAGTGAAGATAATAGTGGTAACTATCTCATAAGATTATTGGGGGGTTAATAAATGAAATAATACATGTAAGGAGATTTGCATCATGCCTGGAATACAAGTGGGTGCTTACTATCAGGTGCCATGATATGGAGGTAGTCTAGTAGTTAAAGATGCAGACTCAGGGCCCGAAGACCTGAGCACAGAGAGGTTTAGGGACCCACCAGGTCACACAGCTGGTGAGGAATACAGTCGTGGCGAGCTCCCTAGTTCAGTACAGGCAAACCTCGGGATGTTCCGGGTGTGGTTCCAGACCACAACAATAAAGCAAGTATTACAACAAAGCAAGTCAGATGAATTTTTTGGTCTTCCAGTGCATATAAAAGTTACGTTTATACTCTACTGTAGTCTATTAAGTGTGCAATAGTATTGTGTCTAAAACAAGTACAGAGCTTTATCGCTAGAAAATGCTAATCATCACCTGAGCTTTCAGTGAGCTGTGATCAGTGATCACAGATCACCATAACAAATATAATAATGATGCAAAAATTTGAGATATGGCGATAAAATGTGACACAAAACACAAAGTGAGCAAATGCTGTTGGACAAATGGTGCCGAAAGACTTGTTTGACACAGGGTCGCCACAAACCTGTGGTTTGTGAAAAATGCTATATCTGAGAAGTGCAATAAAATGAGGTACGCCTGTACTCTTTCCAGACTTCTCCATGCTAGAACCTTTGGTCTGGGCACTGGGATGGGGCTCTCTGAGCACTAGTGCTGGTCACAGGAGCTGCCTATCTTGGAGGCTGGGGTGATAGGACTCCCGGGTTCCCCTGGACAGCTGCTACCTGGTGAGGGGCAAAGCACTGCAGGGACTCCAAGGGACTGCTCCTTGCCTCCCTCCCAAGACAGCTCTGGGGTAAGCTTAAGCAGCTGCCCTTGTCTACCCACAATCCAGTGGGGGTAGGTGCCTCCAGGCAGAGCGGAAGCCACACGGTCCAGGCAGGGTGGGGGTGCCCCCGGCGCCCTGGGGATCTCAGTGTGGCTTTCTGTCAAGCCTCTGTTGGTGCCTGGTTCCCCCATAAAGCCATTATGTACTGGGAGAATTAATCATGCCGTTAGGTAAGCATTATGGCACTTTTATGGCAGCTTTGAAGCTAATCTGTCATTAATGCCTGCTGGATTATCATGATTTCTTGCAGTTGTGATTCATTAACTCGAAGCCTAATAGTAATTCTATTAAACATCTCCCATCACCGTTTGCCCCAACATGTCCCCACTCTGTTCTATTGTGCCGCTGCAGCGGTGTGACTGGCAACCTGTGTGGTCTCCAAAGAGACGGACAGGTCCCCCTGCCAGCGAGAAACTGCCCAGCCAGGCATCCATGCCCTCCCCAACCTCGGAGCACGTCTCCTCCCACGCCAGCTGGACTCTTCGGTCCATTCTCGCTTTTCTCCCAGAGGTCGCCGCGATGCCTTTTCTGAACCACCCATGACTGCATTCCAGAGGCCAGACTGGGCAGAGTAAGACAAGCACCCCACGACTCCACAGGTGACTGTCCGGGCCGCGGGGCCAACCGGTGGCGGAAGTGGGTTTGGGGTCAGGAGAGAAACCGGGGTGCTGCGAAAGAAATGTGTTCAGGCGCCCCTTTCCCTCCTTGCTCAGAGCTCATGAAACTCACAAGCGGAGGAGGCAGGCGGCGGGGCCAGGAAGCAGGGGTGGCGCACCGTTGACTGTGGGCCTGCCCGCATGAATAAAAGCCCCTGGTGAGGTTTTTTTGAAAGAAATGGTTCTCTTAGGCTGGCTGTTCTCTGCAAAAGGTCAGCTTCGGGGCACGGTTTGACGGATGGGCTGTGAGTAGGCAAGAAAAAGGAAGTGGGGAGAACGGGCCGCTGGGGGTGGGTCAGGAGGAAGCCGGTGGAGGACTGGAGCTCGGGCTCGTCCCGGTGCCAGCATCTTGCCCCTCGTTTGGCGCCATCAATCAAGCCCGGCACCGATATCTCCGCAATTTGTAATGCCCCGACCCCCTCCGACCTGCCCAAGTGCGCACCGCGCTGACCCTTCTCGCCCTCATTCAGGCTTGTGCTGCTGCCCGGGTGATGGATGGCTTCTCCTCCCCCAGGGCTCGCCTCGCCACAGCTGGGGGAGCACGGGCAGGTAACCGAGGTCAAACCCGGGGCAGCCACAGTGACCCAGTCACCCAGGCCAAGGGACTGTGTGTTCCCAGAGGCAGCAGGTGATGCCAGGGATAGAGAAATAGAGCTGAGAGAGGAAGCAAGAGAAAATTCCAACTATATAAGGAAAGGGGGTGGGGGGAACCAAACCAAAAAACCTCTCTGTATCCTAAGGTCTTCCAAGACTTCTAAAAATCTCCAGCATGGTGTGATGTCTTCTGCGTACAGCTACAACATTGCCTGTTCCACTCCATCTGTGTTTTCTCACGCCTGTGCGCTTTAAGAACCACTGAAATGGAAAACAAGTTAAAAAATACATAGATGTATATATAGTGAGACGGAGAAAGAGAGGGCAGTACTCTGCAGCCTGCACTCGTTTTTCTCTTTCTTTCTCTCCCTCTTTTTTTTTTTTTTTTTTTGCCAGTGTTTGTTGTAGGAAAAAGTGTATAAAAACAAACCCTAGACAACTGGAGTAAATATTCTCAACACATCAGCCGAGGAGAAGTCAGGATCCAATGTTTCCATCCTTCCTCATTCTGGGCAGAGCTGGAAGGAAAAGAAAGGATCTCTGCCCGTTTTCTAACTTGTAGGTGGTGTTCCCTGTCTTTTGTTCACGGGTGAAATGGTTCTTGCGGTGGAGACTTGCAAATTGTGCGAAGTAAGGTGTGGACTGACCAGCTGGCCCGCGGAGGGCTGCCTTGGGAGGCTCCCGCCGAAGGCTTGGAGGGGTTGGCGCATGCGCGTGTGCTTGTGCGTGCAGGTGCGGGAGACGCCTGCGTCCGCTGCCAAGAGCAGCAGGTGAATTGAGTTTCGTGTCGGTGGACCCATCCTTGGCCTTGAGGACCGGGGAAATAGCTCTCGGACAGGCTTCCTCTTGGAACTTCAGGGGCTGAGTAGAGGGTCCAGGAGAGGAGTCTGGGGACCGTGGACTTCCGAGCGAGTGGAACAGAGACTGCGGAGCGGGACTGCCCGGCATGCGATGGAGGGGTTGGGCCTGGGGCTGGCGAAGCCAGGAAATGGAGGAAAACACAAACTGATAGGCGGTGGAAGGAGAGAGGAAGGGACAGGAAAAGCGCTGAGAGAGATCCAAGAGATAGATGATCACGGGACAGGAGTCAGCAGGGAGAAGAGAGGGAGAGCAAATTTAATGAGGGCAACTTGAAGGCCAGCTTTAACCAACAGCTGGCGGGGGGCCGGGTTTGATCTCCTTGTGAGTCAGGCGGCTTGATTAATTGTGGCCTGTGGAGGAGGATGGACACCTGGCCCTGCTGCTGAGCTCTTTGATCTCAGGGTTTCTCAGGGCCTGTGGGAGGGGAGTTGCTCGCCTGACTGGGGGCTCCCTGAGAAGGAAGCCAGGCGGCCCTGGAGAGGCTGGGAGAGTCAGGGCGGTGGGGGTAGGGATGGGGGAGACGGGAAGGCAGAGAGGCAAGCAGTACAAAGGGCAGGCGGGTCTGGAACTGTGAACAAAGCCCCCGGGGGGAAGGTGAGCTGAGGGAATGTAGAAGGAGGCAGCCTTTGAAGGTGAAGTTTCACCCATAATCTCGGGGTGATTCTGTGGTGAGGGTTCCTTCACCCTCTGTTTTACACCACTGTGTAGAGTTAGCTGAACTGTGAGGGAGGATCAGGCAGAGGAGAGAGCCATTTGCACAAAATTGTGTTCTGTTGCTTCTGGCTATGCGGCTAGCTAGTTTAATCAAGGAGTGAGCTCTACAAGGGGCAAAAGGAGAAGGGAGGTGTAGGGCTCCCTGGAACTGGCTCCATTTTATGCATGTTGGATGGAAACAGATTTGAGAGAAGAAAGCGACATATTGCCAAAAAAAAAAAAAAAAAAAAAACCAACCCACCAACCCTCAAAGAAGAAGGAAAAAAGGAACTAAAACCCTAATGCCCTTAAAAAAGAAAACCAAAAAAAAAAAAAAAAAAGTCATATATTATGTCTTTGGACTAAATCCATTGGTGTTCTGCCAATTTCAAATAATAGTGTAACTTGATTAAGAAACTTTACAGGATTTAAAGTTGTTGGCTTTTCTGACTCCTCTCTGAGACTTCTCCGTAAGTCACTGTCTACACCAGGCTAATTTGTTCCCAGATTCCTTAATCTTTTGCAAGTTGGTGATGACGTTTATAACTTGGTAGCCATATTGGAAGTGTTCATGATTTCTTTCGCTCACAACTTCCACGCAGAATTTTTGGGTGACTTAAAACATTACCGTGAAATGTCCTGCTGTTGAAACACTGTGTATGTGTGTGTATCTGTGTGTGTGTGAATGTGTGCTCATAAGCTCTTCAAGCTTTATGTGGCCCCACTCTCCTCCTGGGCGCCAAACTCCTGCTCATAGCTGTTTTAAGTCTGAGACACAAGAATGAGGACAATAAGAATGGCCCCCTAGAGTTCAGCCTGGGACATAGGACTCCAGAGCCTCTGAAGACCAGCTGCAAAGGGAATTCCAGAAGTGAAGGAGGACGATTTTTCTGGCGGGATTCGAGTTTTGACCGGATGACATTAGTGTGGTTGGGAAGGCACTGGCCTCGCCTATGAACTAACGCCCAGCTCTGTACCCAGTCACCAGCAATGCACCTTGGGCCTGCCACTTCATCTCCCTGGGGCTTCAGCTTCCTCATCTGTAACATGGGATAAAAGCATGTTTTTGGGGATGTGAAAGCACCCGGTAAAGGATGAAGCCTTCAATTAACAGCAGACATTAGAATTACTGCTTACATTACAGAAGCCCGGGTCTCTTTAAACACTCGTGTTGACAGCAAGGATGTTTTAATTTCAAACAGGGTTTGCTCATGGAGGACATTAGAAAATGAAATCCCATGTTACCTGCTCTCCCCGGGGCACCTGCTCTCCTATAATTATTATTTACTAATAAGTACATTTTGTTCATAAATGTCCCATAAAACCAGCTGAAATCCTTTCCCCGGCTGGCCTGGTTTTTCTGGGTAGGACTAGGCAGGAACCACTGGCAGTGCCCTCCGGGTGGTGGGGCTCTTGGTCTGTGAGTTGCTGTACCTGGCCCTTCCAGGGAAGGTCTGGCCAGTTTGACCTGGAGGTCTCCACGGTGTGGCGTCATCTGTCAAATCTTGCTCTTCCCGCTTCAGCCTGTTTTGCCTGTTTGTGAGAGGAACATTGTGTTCCTTGAGCCTGGGCTTCCTGGACCTTCACAGCTGTTTCTGTTTGTGGGGCTCTTGCTACCATTGACAGGCTAGGTGCATGGTGCCTGGAGCTCAGGCTCTGGTTTGAATGTGGTTTCTGATGTGAGACCTATGGGACATGGGACAAGATGGGGAGGGCCATGCTTACCCTTCAGTGGTTGCGATGAGGATAAAGACGGTCTATGTAAAACTCCTAATCAACATCTGGCACCTAGCCAATGCTCAGTAAATGATTATTCTTGTAGACCAGTGGTCTCAACCCTGGCTATATATTGAAATGATGAGGGATCGTTTCAAAGCCTGGGCCCCACCTCTAGAAATCCTAACTGGTGTCAGGTTAAACCTTAGCATTAAAACCCTGGTGATTCTAATGTGTAGCCAGGGTTCAGAAATAGTAGTGCTATTTCTGAGATCATGACCTGAGCCGAAGGCAGACGCTTAACCGACTGAGCCACCCAGGCGCCCCTAAAATGCAGCTTCTGAGTCAGTACATGTGGGGCAGCAGAGCCTTTGCATTGCTGACAGGCGTGCCAATGCCTATGCGGGGACTACACTTTGGGTGGCAAGGCTCTAGCCTTCCCCGATCCTCATAGCTCATGCACGTGGCCATGGCCATGGATGGGAGACCTGGGAAGCAGGTGCAAGTGAACACAGGAAGAAATCTGAGAGGCAGTTCCGGAGGCTTGGTGAAGAGTGTTCCCACCAGGTACTGTCCTGGAATCCACAGTCCTCCTCAGTACACACACACGCATGCATGCATGCATGCACGCCTCCTTCTGAATCCAGTCTTGAACACCCATGTGAGTAGCAACCAGATGATGTTTTCCAATATTTCAGTATCTTTTCAGGTTGCCTATTCTGTGAAGACAACCAAATGAATGGAAACATTTGCCATGGAATATTTAGGGCTCAGGTCATGAGTTTAAATACCCATTTATAATACCCAACTGGAAGAGTAATCCCTAACCTGGCCTTGTAAATAGTCAGCCCAAGATGCTTACATGGCCAAATGAAATCCCCATAGGTGAGTATAATCATAGAGCAGATCCCAGTGAGGCTGCAAGTAAACAGCTACTGGTACTAGCCCATGAAACAGGGTATGTATTGGTGGGAGAGACAGAACTGATTAGAACAAAGGGCTTCTGAGTAGTGGGAAAGGGTCTTCCAGATAGCACTCAGCCTGGAAGACTTTTTTCCCCTAATGACAGGCATATATAT